CATCCTCTGCAACAGAACAGAGAGCTATTGGGCTGTGTATAAGATAGGCCACCTCAGTGTTAAATAACACCCATGCAGTATTTAGTGAATATTCCCTAGGATTTGCTGACATATTTATATGGTGCTTTGGTCCCTAAAAAATTCTATTTATCTTCTTCAATGTTTATATCCCAATATAATTCCCACCAGATTTTTATGTTTTGTTGGGGCAAAATTGCTTCTCAATAAGTTTTGTATAAAAGGGAAAGTAATCCCTTAGTCCTCTTCCCCTGCATTATGGTGGCAGGGGGGCTTGTTTTGTGCCAAGCAGGAAATACAGACCTGCCCTTCCCTCAAATCTCCCAGCACTTGTACAGAAGATTTGAGGGAAGGGACCAGCTGCTCACTTTGGGTTGGTGTTTTCATACACTTGGAAGCATCATAACTCTTTGTATTACAGTTTGAAGGTACTGAAAAGCAGTGAGAAACTGACACATTTTCTCTCCAGAGCTGCTTTTTTTGTCGGGTGTCATGGAAAAAAAGGTCATTGGTCATCTGCAAGTAACAGCTGGCTAAGACCACCAGCTAAAACTTGTAGATTCCTGTATGAGACCTCCCTATAAAAAAGACTCCATATTTTATGCACCTTTATGCACCTTTCATATCTAACCCAGAATATGTGTTGTTTTTTCTTGAGGTTTTTTTTTTAATTAAGCTTGAATGTTGCTGACTGCCAGTTGGCTATTTTGTTGCATGTTTTTTATTGTTACCTATTTAATCATGTATTCACGGGTGTCATCAGGGTTGGACCAGTTTTTAATAATGAATGAAACCATAGCAAGATTTGGATTACAAGACTTCCATATACATATTGTATAATATTGAATTGTCTAGGAGGTGTAAGTATCTGTGTCAGTTTCACTTCTCAGCAGTGATGTAGGGCTGAAATATTTTCATTTCTAAAAATTCATTGCTTTGTAAAATTCATTAGTTCATGCCAGTGTAACATTAGACAAACTGTTTTCTGCATGACAGTTTCAAAGTTGTAATTAAATGTTTTTCATGTGATCTTAGAAAAAGGAAGAGAGTACATTTTGTTTTGTAAATAGGTAAAATACAAATACAAACCAAGCATGAATTCATCAGATTGGCTGTGCAGTTAAAATCAAAGCCAAACCTAAAATCCATATAAACTTGGCGCTACAAGTGTGTTTATATTTAGCTGAAGTCAAATATTCAAAATCAAATTATGCCCTGTTTAAAGCATCAATATTTTTCTAACTAAAAATTATCTGGAAAACCCGCATCACTGCTTCTCAAATAGTAATAAAGTATGATGTTTGTCTAATCCAGTGCATTTAGCCTATCTCAGTTGTTAACTTCAGGTTCCAAGCAGCCTTAAAGTGCACAGCTTGACCAATAACTGCTGGTAGAATTTGAAAAATATGAGGGGCCTGATCATCTAGGCCAGTGTTTCTCAAACTTGGGTTGCCAGCTGTTGTTGGACTACAACTCCCTAGCTGGCAGGACTAGTGGTCAGGGATGATGAGACTTCAAGTCCCAACAACAGTTAAGACCCAAGTTTGAGAAACACTGGTCTAGGCTAAGAATTACGGCATTTCTCCATTCTTTAGGACTTGCGGCTTAATTTGATTCTGCCACCTAAATCCTTTCCCCCCACCCAACCATGCCTATTAGTCTTTCTCCTGTGTGGACTAGCTATTTTCGCCTTGACCTACCATGGTGTTTGTAACTTGTCTTATGATGGCCAAGTGTGCAAACTGTCACCAAAGCTCTGCAAACTGTAGCTTAGAAATATGATTGTGTGTGAGAGAGCTTAAGCTTTGGGTTGGCAGTGGATCCCCAGGTGTTTCATATTGTAAGAAACCTAAATTATTTATTTTATTATTTAGTATTTTTTTTACAGTATGGACAGGATCCAGAGTTCCTGTGAGTCAAGTCAAGACACTGGATGCTCCTGCTGTAGGAAGGGAGGAAAGCGATTTCTGCCATTTACTTCTTCCCCACCCTGGGTCCCTTGAAAAGCTGCTCCAAAAGGAACGTTGGCAACTGTATCAGAGGAACTGCAGGAGGGGGGGAGAGGAATCAGCTAATATATTTCTGCTCCCCCCCCTTTGGGGGGAGCCTCCATAGGCACTCATCCTCTTCTGCAAACACAAGGCACATTCTAGTCCCAAGCCTATATCTTTTAGCATATAATGATCTGTGCAGTCTATTATCTCTTGCAGTCTAAGCCCAAGTTACACTATTGCTTTTTCTTTCTTTTTTTGTAAACAAGCCTGTGGAGTCATGGAAACAGACTATTTTGATTGAGCTTAGCAGTATGGCTTGCCTGTGCTGGTTTAATCTAAACTGAGATAAACAGGCCGTAAGTCAAGGACTATGCATCTTGTGTGTTAAGCTATATGAATTTAAAACCAGCTTTATGATAAGTTGTTTTACATGGATTTTGTAGACAGCAAAGAAAGGCAACGTAAATATAAGGAATAGCCTCAATATTGTGAATAACATTTATTGGAAACAGCATGTATGTATATTATCTAGTAGACTACAAAATAAGGACCATTATTGCAGTGTTTTGTGGTTACCTCAGGGGATTACTTAATCTCTGCATTATTATTTTTCTAGACAACCCTCCATTCCTTGGGTTAAAAATTCTTCCCAAAATTTGGTTTGTGTAAGAGTTTGAGGCAAAACCCTTCATATTCTTTGCCCAATTTGGGCCCTAGAAGGTTTGGAACCACTAAAAATCCAGAAGATATTAACATGATTTGTGAAAGCATCATGGAAAAGAAGCTGAATAGACATTGCAAAGTGTCTATAACCTGTTTTTCAGATTGTACTCAAGTAAAAACATAGCACCTGGACCTCTGAGGCTTGGTCTTTCAATCAACTGTACATTATACACCAACATTTTTTCCACTTGGACTATTATTAGAAATGGTATAACAATCAGACAGTGAACTATTTGGCATATAATAGCTAGGGCAAAACATATCCTGCGCCCCTTTATTTCTGACAAGTTCCAGCATTTGAGGTACCTTACTGCTGTGTGCACTCCATTTCCCTTCCATGTAAAGTAGTTGCATGAACAATTCAGAATAAGTTACTTAAAAATTACTGCAGCACATTCTTTCATGAGAAAATCATTAGGTTTCCATATTTAGCAGCATTAAAGAGAACCTCAATACATGAAGCTAATGAAAATGCACATTCTTTGACCAGCCTGAAACAAACTTAGATTTTTAGGGCTATTCTCTTAAATGCGTCCTAGTAAAAAAAGTCAGGAAATGTTCCAGATAACCTTTTCCCTCAAGGAGGGGGTGAAGTGGGGAATCAGACAGGTATACAGTGGTACCTCGGGTTAAGAACTTAATTCATTCTGGAGGTCCGTTCTTAACCTGAATCTGTTCTTAACCTGAAGCACCACTTTAACTAATGGGGCCTCCCACTGCTGCTGCGTGATTTCTGTTCTCATCCTGAAGCAAAGTTCTTAACCCGAGGTACTATTTTTGGGTTAGCAGAGTCTGTAACCTGAAGCGTCTAACCCGAGGTACCACTGTATTGCCTAAAATAAAATGCAGAGGTTTGGGGTGGTAGTCAACAAAGTTTTAGTCAGAGTAGATTCTTTTAAATTAATGTCATTAAGTTGGGCCTATTAGTTTCAGTGAGTCTACTCTGAGTAAAATTTAGTTGAACGCTACCCTTTAAAAACCTGTTTTTTAAGTACTTTTCCCAGTTGACCTCCAGGCAGGGGTCACCAGTATGTTGCACTTAAGATGTCATTGAACTCCCAATTCCATCAGTCCCAACCACCACAGCCAAATGTCAGAAATGTTGGGAATTAGCGTCCATCGTCCAATAACATCCGGAAGGCACAACATTGGCTTCTTATATGTTAGCTCATATTTTATTGTTTGTAGAATCTTAACTTTAAACCATTTCTGTTCTGTGACAATGGAAGATTTATAAAACCATTCACCCTACCTAAGCTAAGGGTCTAGTGATGCTGTGAGCATATGTAACCTGTTTTCCCCCTCAATTTTCTGTGGGGAAGTGATTGAATGGTTTTAGTGATGAAAGAAAATGGATGGGGCATAACATGAGCACCTGTATCTCTAAGGAGTACAACATGGTGTGTGTGGAGAATTTTGTAAGCTGTAAACTTGAAACTCACATGCCTGTCTTTTGTCATGAATACATGTCTAGATGAGACCATGTGCTCCAGGGAGCTCAGTTTTCATATATAATCATGTAGATAGGTGTCAATGTTATTCCATGTATGGCAGCTCTCTTTATGAGGAAACAGTCAAATGTGAACATCCTTGGATCTGGGCTCTTCAGATAGTGTGGGACCCAAGAGATACTCTTTTAATTTGAAAAGTGGTGCATTTAAGGAATTGCTGGCTTTGATCTGGGATTCGATGGATACAGTTATGAGATTCAACCTGGTGTGGTCCTGAGGCAATCTGTACTCATTGCAAGCTAAACATGCATGCAACCAGTTTATGCAGGATAAATGAAAAGGGGGTAGTTGAAATTTAGGAAAACCAAGCATGTTTCTGGTTGCTTTATTTTTCTGGTTGCTTTATTTGTCCTACTGACATCTGCCCTTGGGAGGCTTGTCACAAGGATTGTAAATAGCCACTGACCTGAATGCTTGTGGCAAAAAAGAATTCCCTTCAGGTGAAGAAGCTGGGAAATTTGATGATTAGAAAAAGACTGATTTTGCAGGCAGTCCAGCAAATGTGTCTGGATATGTTTGTAAGTCAACTTGCTATGCTTGGGAACATGCACAAAAGAAGATACTAGTGAGATTTTGCCTCAGTTCCAGGGAAGGGAACATTTTTTAGCATCCATGGAAGAATATTGTCCTGGATTCATACTTCCCCCCTAAATTGCTCTCAGTTTTGTTTTCTAGTAGTACTGTGTAAGTGAAGAATGTTGAAGAGTTTCTGCTGTTTTTCATAGCCATTGGCTGACTTCTGGTTTTTCTATAGGGGGAAGCTGGGCCGATATCCTCCTTGGCCAGGAAAGGTGAGTTCTAGTGTGCACTTCACTTACTTTTTGGTGTTCTCTTTATTGGGGTAACGTATTTTTATTAATGTCAAATGCAACGTGTAGATCTACATTTCCTGCAATTATCAGTTGACCCACAGCATGTTACATAAACCAAAGTGAATCTAGACCAGTTTAGGTGGGTTTTGAAATCAATTGTATTCCTGGATGTAGCTACTTAAACCTTTTTCTGTCTTTCTGAAAAACTGCTTTCCCTTTCTTCATAAATAAGCCTTGACACCACCCTCAAATAAAATGTGCAATCAGATCTTATGAATGAAATAAATCCCATTTGAGTTCAGTGGGATATTCACTCAAATGACAATGAATAACAGCAAAAAGGAAAATTTGAAGGCTAAAGATTTATTTGTAAATGTATTTTTGTTTTGTAAAAGCTCCAGATTTAGGCCTAAATAATATCCACCAGAAGTTCCATGATTATATGCTAAGAGATGCCATGCTGGGGGAATCACACATAGTTGGCCTGGCCTGCAGTTGCTGGGGGCAGGCTCTTGGGGGCCCTGTAGAGATTAATTGGTTCAGCCGGGCTGGTGAAAAGGAGTTGCCTCAATGGCATGGTGTGCCCATGTCATCCGTACCTTACAAAGCTACTCAGTCTTGTTCTCTTGTGCTGTTACTCTAGATCTGCAGGAAAAGCATGCTCATGTACCATAATTCATTGCTTGGGTTTGATTCTCTTACAGAAATGCTGTCAGCCTGTTTTTCATTCTCTGGCCTCTCACAGTTCTGCTGTCTATAAAAGAATGGAACATCTTAGCAAATTTTTAGTAGGAGGAGCTCAGTGTGGGCGTTTCAATATCAATTCAGTATCTGTGTCTGCTAGAATCAAAGGCACAGTTACTGCAATTACTTTATTTCATTATTTGATATATCACCGATTAGTACAGTGTTTGATTACTTCCATTCACTCAGATAAATGATTGACAAGTGTGACAAATGTCTGGATTTATCTCCTGAAAAGCTGGTGCTTTTGTAGCATTTACCTTGCAATCAGTTTGTTACTGTAGGGATAATTACAGTCTGTCCTGATGCTGTGTTGTGTATGGTGTACTTAACTATGCAAAGCCTGTTGCAGAATTACCATCTAAACTTAGTCTATATCAGCGTAACTGGCATGATTGCGAGGCATCATGCTGTGAACAGCATAATACACAGATAGCCTCATTTGCTCGTTGATTGACATGAGTGGTGCAAGTTGTTAGGGTACATCCTAGTGACCCAGAGTCCTAAAACGTGTTACACAAGTAGTTTGACATAATTGATTTCCAGAAAAATCTCAGAATGAGATATTTTTACATATACCTGTAAAAACATGTTACTTGCATTTTTGTAATAAGCTTAGCCCAAAGTTTTAAGAGTAGCACTGCACTCAGGAATATGGGCCTTCTTTTTCTGGCATGAATATACCTTTAGTTACAAGGTATCCCCCCCCCTAATCTTGTTTCACAACAGTCTTTACCAACACATTCAAAGATTTTGGAGTGGGTTGTGTGTGTGGAGAATGTTTGAAAAGTTCCATTTTTATTACCTCTAATTGTGGCTTCCTGTGTTTCTCTCTCAGATTGTTAACCCGCCTAAGGACCTGAAGAAGCCTCGTGGGAAGAAGTGCTTCTTTGTGAAGTTTTTTGGAACTGAAGATCAGTATGTACCCACTTCTTTTCTGCCAGGGGGATCTATTTTTAAACTTTAGAGCCTTTGTAGAAAAGCTGGCACAGTGCAATTTCATGACCAGTAAAAATAGTCTTAATTTATCAGCTAGCAGCAGAAACCTCTAGAGCCTATGTGCTGGTCAAGGCTCAAGAAGCCGATGTACCAGCTTACCTAGGCATCAGAAATGTCCATAGCTTTTTTTAGACAGTTTAACACACATCCACATTCCCTGCATTAGGAAGAATTTGACAGCATGTAGTTGGCATTGAGATTTATATCAAGGCTGGGGAACCTGTGGCCCTCCAGATGTTGGACTTCAGCTCCCATCAGCCCAGCTAGCATGGCCAGTGGTCAGGGATGACGGGCATTCTAGTCAGGTAATACCTGGAGGGCTGCAGGTTTAATGTATGGTTTGTTAATTTGAAAGTCAGACTTACATATTGAATATTGTTGCAGTTGATATCAGTGATGTCCAGTGAAATAGGAAGAAACTGGTTGGTGTAAAAAAACTGAAAAGCAATCTAGTTCATTCTCTCCCGGCCCCCATCAAAGGCAGGCATTTTTGACTGTCTTCTTCATTTGCAAAATTCAGACTTCTGGGTTCCATAAACAAGTGGAACAGGAAGTAAAGAGGGATCTCTGTTGCATGTACAGAGAACCAAGGGAAGGGGTCAGGCATTTGCCTCATGGTGGATTTTGCAAACAGTTTGGTCTGCACACCCCATTGGGAACTGCGTGAACAATCCCAGGAGAACCTTCTATATTGTATCATAATCATCCATCCCTCTGTTTCTGCTTCAAGTCTTCCCGTGCTTGAGGAGCTGGAGCCCAAACTGCATCAACCACGTACAAGAGAGAGGTATTAGCAGATTCAAGATACAATAGAGGTTTGCGGGTGCTCAGTAATCTTCAGTGGAAAAAAGCAACGAAGGGGTTTGGGAAATCCCCTGAAAATCCCCATAAGAATTCAATGATTCAAAATGTTGAAGGAGGAAAAATAAAAACCTGATAACCATGTGGAAGGAGAAATGTAAAGGGGAGTGAACAAAAAGTACTCTGTGTTGCTACATTTTGTTGCAGGTTGCACTTATACAAAGTATTTCTACTGAGATATATGGACCAATGATCTGAGGCTGTAAGCACCCACATATGATAATTTCATTTAAAAACTGGGCCATTGTGTCAGTATTCAATACATTATGCTTTAGACAACAGCATACACTCCTCCTTTATACTTGCCTTTTCTTTTTCTGAAGCTTAAATATTTGGACTGACAGTGCCACATGAGAGAGTGCTTATTTTCTAGCCAGGTATATGTCCTCTATTAATTGGGGCGTACCTGTCAGTGCTTCAAGGCTGTTGCTATTCCTCACCCTTAGGTAGTTCCATTTTTTGTAAATTCTTTAAACTGGTTTTAACCTTACATTTTTATATTGTTGTAACCTGCTATGGGAGCTTATGGTGAAGAGCAGGTAGGAAATAATACAACATCATGAGATGGGAACAAAAAAGGAGAAGGGAGAATCTGCAGTATGTTTTTATTTGCAGTGGAAACTTTTGAAAAGTGGATCGAATGGTCTGGAATGCTGTTTAGTTCCAGCATAGATTAATGAACAGATTGCAAATGTAAACGTTGATGTACCAAACCAAACCAAATAGCAGTATGGCATGTAGTTTATAATATAATTCGGTGAAGGAGGTTGGCTAAAGAGCAAGGCCTGAGGAATGTCTTAATCATGTCCTGTTGAATGATTTCTCTCTGCTGAGCAGTGGATATTTCATTCAAGTACAGGCTACATCTTATGTATAAGGGAAATGCAAGATATAAGCAGGGCTCTGTATTCTGCAATTTGAGGGGGGCATAGCAGATTGTATTGCAAAAAAATAGTTTCCTGAGGCAAGCAAAGTAAGTTTCTAGCCCTTACTGTGTTTATAGAAACAGGAGAGTTGATGCAAAGTACATTTATACTTTAAACTGTCCTGTCATCTTTGGCTGAAGGGCAGTATATAAAATTATTAAATAAAAAATAAGAATTTCTATGATGCAGAATTTATTCTTATCACATAACTGGGATAAGAGTGGGATTTAAAATCATCATCATCATCATCATTCAGTGAAGTGGGCCCTTTGTGACCTGTGTCTAATCCTCGGGTGAGCCTTTGAGTCACAGTCATTCACTTTAAGTGGGAATTTAGTTACCATCTGACAAAGTGTGATAATGCTCTGTTAATCCTGGTTATCTCCTCCAGTTTCTGTAATGGTAACAAAGCAGAACCTCCAGTAATGAAGCAGCATTCAGGCAAGTGCTCTCCACCCATACTTTTGAGGAAAAACAACATAAACCTGAAGTAGTCAAGGAAAAACCCAATGTGCCTTCTGACAAACTATTTTATAGCTCACTTGTATATTTGCAACAACAACAACTAATAAGAATAAAAAATAATTTGTTACTTATACCCTGTCCATCTAGCCGGGCCTCCCCAGCCACTCTGGGTAGCTCCCAACAGAATATTAAAAACACGAGAAAACATTAAACATTAAAAACTTCCCGAAACAAAAACTATATGATGTTTTTCACCACTCAAAAGTATTTGACATGCATTATCTTATTGTAGTCTTTAACAGACACCCTGTAAGGTAGATCAGTATTATCCCCAAAGTGCAAATAGTGGGGGGAGACTGAGATTGTTAGGCTGAATTCATGGTAGAGGTAAAGTTTGAACCAGGGTCACCCTGACATAGTTTAACCTCTTAGCTACTATGCCACACCAGCTCTCTATGTATGATTAGGAACATCATATTATAGAGCCATTTGGGAATACGACTTAAAACTGTAGGTCTTACCAGATGCAGAAAATTTGTGCATCTAGGAGAGAGTTTCTGGCATATTGTGCTGGTATGCCTATGTGTGCTATGTGAATTTCACAAGACTTCACAATGGAGGACTTCCCAAGTGACTCTTTTGTGCTGTATTTGGTTGAAACAACCTCCCTCTCCTGCCAGAAACAGGAAGAAGTCAGTATGCATGTTTTTATAGTGTATATCTCCCTAAATCACCTGATTGTAGGCTTCTAGGAAGAAACTGAATAGTCACGGTTGACCTTTTTAAAAAAATTAATTAATGCATAAATATTTGACTGAAACATTTCCTTTTAACCAAGTAATAGCTATGGCTTGTGGGCCCAATTATGTCTACCAAGCCTCTCCTTTTGGCTTGAGAGACCATTTTACCCAAGCCACAGCCACCTATCCTGAATGTGATGTCATATACGATGTCAGGGTGAGGCAGGTAAATTCATATATTGCTGTTGAAACTCTGTTTACGTATGCAATTTGATTGCAAACTGTTGCCTCACAATTCAAATTTCTTTTTATTTCTTTTTAAAGGCAAGTTTCTAGTAGAAATTTTCTTGAAAGTATGCATCTGTGAATCTTGAGAAATCTTAACTCTTGAGGGTTTGCTGAATAAGACATTCAGAGTTAGATATACGGCTTTAGTGCTATGCTTGCCTTCGTATTCTTCCCCATAGTTCCCTTTTTCAAAATAAGCAGGCAGGTGTCATTCATACAGCTTTCCTTGATGCACAATTGAGTTACCTCCAGGCCTGGGCAACGGTGGGTAGGTGAGCTGCACACCGCTGCCCTGCGCTCCCGCGCTACTTCCTGCAGGGGGGAAGCTGCACCGCTTTGCCGGCAGCCTGCCCCCCCCCCCCGCCACTTCCTTAGGAGGCTTGGGAGCGGTGGGCAGGTGGCGCGGCTTCCCCACGCTCCCGGGCTGCTTCCTGGTATAAGCTCCCGGTATAAGCACTGGCAATACCCAACGCTGAACATGACTATAACCAACTTTAATAAGTGAACGGGCATTTTTGGTTTTAAAATAAAAATAAAAGGAAAAAGCTCTCGTTCTGGTGCTGCTGTTTGTAGAAGGAATAGTTCCAGAATGGTCATATATATGGCCTAGTTCATAATATCTTCCCCAATTTTGGAGCAAAAGGGCACAACTGTGATGCCAAAACAAGGAAAGGAGTTAATCCGTACACATTCTCAGTGCCCAGCCTCCTGACTAAGGCTGCTTTGTGCCTAACTGCTTACCTAGAGGTAAGCTCAATTTAATTCATTAGGACTTATTTCTGAGTAGGTCTAGCTAGCATTGCACTGTATATTATTAATAATAATATGTTTTGTCTGCAAGCTTAAATATTTGTGTGTGTGGATATGTTAAGTCAGGATAAACTGCTTTAAAAGACTAAAGTCTGAATGAAATCAATAGTAGCATAATTCTGCTAGGACCAATTCAAGTCATAGAAAAAGTGAATTAAAGCTTTTTTGAGTTCATAAATTTTATCAGGCCGTGTGAGTAGGGATTGTGAGGAAGACAGATGTAATAGTTACTTGGCATAATGGAGAGCCCAGTTTGTGGTAATAGTTGAAGATTGAATGAAGGACAGATGATTGCACAGGTTGCTCACTGGGGCAAGAAAGGCTGAGCATATAACAACAATTCTGCCCTGACAGCGCTGATTATGAGTTAATTTCCAGGCACAATTGAAAGTGCTGGTTTTGACCCATAAAGTTTTAGGTGCCCCCCCCCAACTGACCCAGACCCTGCAATCATCATCTGAGGGCCTTCTTTGTGGGGCCCCTCCACAGGCATTCTGGAAGATGGCAACATGAGAAAAGGTCTTTTCATTGGGCTAGCTCCCTGCTAGTGGAATGCTTGCTCAGGGCAGGTTTGCCTGGCACCATATCCTTAAGTGCTATGCAAAAACATACCTTTTTAATCATTTGGATTTTAACTCTCAGTGGCCTTTTTGTGTTGGTGAGATGTTTTAATGTAGAGGGTTATTTTCCAATGCTGGTTTTAATGTATCTATGTGTTTGGGTTTTTTGCTTAAAATACTCTAACTCACTTTGAGTTGCTGTGGCAAAAAAATGACTAATAAACTTCATAAATAATAATAAAAAGAAAAAACCATTTTTTACTTAGACTTTTGGTTCTAATAAACAAATTACTATTGCTTTTGGATTCCCTTTTTCTAATGGACCAAAATTTCTTCCCACATTGTTTTGTCTACTAAAACTGCATACTATTCTTTGGTGCTTAAAAGTCAGGTGGAATGTGATTTTCTTGAGTTGGTGTTTAAGCATTTTATTGAGGCAACAACTCATTTAAACAATGGTTTTTGCAACTCCACTGGAATTCTGTAGATAGAATATTGATTAATCTTATAAAATGATATGCATGGATTCTGATTCTTTGTTTCTGTGACAGAAGTTGTAAAGTTAATAGGTTACATATAGCAACATACCTACTGAGAAGGAGAAATGTCATTTAAAACATGTCATTAGGAACAGAGTCTAGGAATGCAGAAATTCCTAGCAGAAATGCTATGGAAATGCATATAAAAGAAAACAGAAGAGGTAAATAAGTTCCCCTTCATTCTGTAATAGTTGAGTTCATCTAAAGACAGGTGTTCTTCCTAATTCAGCTAGTTGCTGCTAAGGAAAGTTTAAAGTCTGGCAGTGTGAAGGGTATCACCAGATTGAATCAAGAAAATCAAAGCAAAACCTTAATAGCTTAATTTACCCAATTCATTATAAGCAAAATAGCTCTTAGTCAGAAGTGACTTCTGATTTCACTAGTGATTTCCTTGAACACGGAAGACACTCTCACATTGAAAACCAGCAGTGGCACCTGAAGAAGAACTATTCTGCTTGAAAAACATCAGGCACAAACATGTTTGAGATGCAGTTTGTTAACAAGTAAACTGCTTTTTCAGCACATTGGGTTCACCTCTAATTGAGGAGGTATGGGAGGGAATGCTTACATATAACTAAAGCAGTATAAAGTTAGTCAAGAAGAGGATTTGCTGTGGGCGCTAGGTAGCATGCCACTTGGGAAAGTATATATGTTCCAAGGCAGGCTCTTGGAATACGGGGGTGGGGGGACAAAGTATTCAGGTTTTGTACACACATCTTGCTTGGAAGGGCTGCCAATTACCTCTGGGAGCGATATGACTGGAAAATACCATTTTGATTTCTCTTTTATTAGTGCTTGGATTAAAGTGGAGCAGCTGAAGCCTTATCATGCCCACAAAGAGGAAATGATCAAAATTAACAAAGGCAAGAGGTTCCAGCAAGCTGTGGATGCTGTGGAAGAATTCCTCAAAAAAGGCAAAGGCAAGGACCAGGTGAGTGTCCTTTCATTTAGTTTTGCCTCCTGACACCATTCCCTGGAATAATGAATGAAATGCTTCCGTTTTTACTTCATTGCCAGGTAGGTGTGACAGACTATGTCTCAAGAATTATACTATGGAACAGTGATTAGGATCACATTTAAAGTTGTAAAGCAGTTAAGTTTCACAATTCTGTTCCCTCTGACATCCTTAAAGTGAACAGTGACAAAAGGATCGGCTGGATCTCCTTACAGCGTTGGAATGTGTTTGCTATGCACTCTGGAGTTAGAACTTTTTTTCCCATATAAAGTAGGTGTCTGCCTAGAACACACAGCTGTGCTTTGCATCTCCTTGTCTGTTCTAAATAGTAGCTTGAACCTGCTAAAACCCTGAGTTCAGGGTCCTTGGCATTCTTCGGATATCTGGCAAAACTCATGTTTGGATTTTGTGAGTTTGGGGACAACAAAATCCATGCCAGCTCATGCCCCTTCTTTTCCTCATCCTCTCTGTTCTGTAATCTCTCAGGCTTCTCATAACTCCACCGAAGAGAAGAATCGGCGGAATTCGAGTGAAGAGAGGGGCAAGCAGTCAGTGGGAGAAGAGAAACACAAAGCCAATTTGTCTGAAGGGAAGCCGAAGAAGAGGGTGTCTTCTGTTTCTTCAGAGCGAGGCTCAAAATCCCCTCTGAAGAGAACATATGAGCAAAGCCCCCGGAAGCGAGGGCGCCCCCCTAAAGATGAGAAGGTTTGTGTTTTGCATCTCCTCCCATGCTCTGTGAGCTTGTCCAGATGGAATGTAACCTTAACAGCCAACCAGATGACTTCATTGTTGTGGCCATTTGAAAAGTTGCATGTGTTAACTGTTCAAGGGTCCACCAGGCAATTCCTTTATTCCTCAGCCATAATCATTTATATTAGTTGGCTCTTCCAAAGTGCTCAGCTTTAGAAGTTTCATGGAGTGGCTCCTCTCTGGGAAATCCAACGAGATAACACCATTTTTCCATCTTGTTGCACGCTAACCAAGGAAACGGATCACAATTTCACCATCAATAGTGGTATATGTTAACATCTCCATCTCATTTGTACGTTTGGTCAGATGACAGCCCTTTCCATCTCATCCTTTCTCCGGTGCGGTCAGGCTGGTAAAGGGCCAGTTGCCTTGATAGATGGGCACGAAGAAAGCTTCTAGAAGTGGATGACGCAGCCAGAAGACGTCCGTTTCTATGCATTCCTAATTCTTTGCCAGCCTTTGATTCCTCACCCCCCGTTGTGGTCTGTCCCGTCCTTGGACACTTGACAGATGTTCACTAGCGGAACGTGGCCACCTCTATCTATTCAAGAAAGTTGGAATCTCCTGCTCTGGCGGTTGATGTTACCCACTTCAATCCTTACCAGTTGAATGGATTACTATAATGCTAATGCTCCACGAGGCTGAATCTGAATGCCACTAAGAAGCATAAGACAGGATTACTAATCAGCTAAGATTTACTAGAATTGCATTCCACTCATTTTCAGTTGAATGGTACAAAGTGCTTCCCTCTTTCTCGCTGCCATCTTTTATTAGGTCACAGTTGTGACCCTCATCTTTACTAGTTTGAGGTTTAGATTCCTGCAGTCTGGGAAAACCATTATTGATACTTTATTGGTGACTGACCAGATCCCTGCGTTTAGATGTGATGAAGCTGCTTGCAAGTAGGATTTTCCCTGATATTTTATTTTAGGTTATACATTTCCAAAACAGTTGGCTTGAGGGTGTGCATATTTGCTAACTTGTTCTTTTGGAGAGTGTATCAGTACAGTGGAACCTCGAGTTGCAAACGTGATCCTTGTGGGAGGCACATTTGCAACCCGCAGCACCGCCTCTGCACACACGCACTACGCGCTTCTGCGTATGCGCAAAGTGCGGTTTTGGTGCTTCTGCGCGTGAGCGAGCACCGAAATCTGGAAGTAACCGTTACGGTACTTCCGGGTTTGGCACATCCGTAACTCGAAAACATGCAACCCACAGCATTCGCAACCTGAGGTATGACTGTAGTAAATTTAGCCCTTTGAATTTCAGAAGCATACTAAGTCACTGGCTGAATACCAGGTGAGGGGGGTGTCCCTTTTTACATGGTGGATTGCAGAAAAGTTGGCAGTTATGGATGGATTTTCTGGCTGATGGAGCAGCACAATCAAGAAGTTTGGAAAGAAAAGAGGCTACTGAAAGCAACAGACTTCTTGATGACACTGCTCATTCAGCTACCACTGCTGCATACTCTCTTGCCCATTGAAGAATATTCAGTATTTTTTCAAAATATAATCATCAAAAGAGTTTGGGAGCCCAGTTCCAGTGGAGGAGAGCCCTGCTTTTGTAAGAACGGCTGTTGGACCAGGCTTTGTATAGATAGCACTGGCTGTGACAGTCCAAGTCCTCTTGGCAACTGAAATGGTCCTGGTTTGTTACTATTGTGGAATCTCACTCTGCCTAAAATCAAAAGGGATTGCAAATTGCTGTAGAAGATGGCTAGAAAACATCTCACTGAAAGCACTAAATGGACACTGGTTGGTTGGTTTAGCCTTTTACTTAAAATGTGGTGGAGATGGGAAGTTTAATGTAGGAGGGTAGTAGAGTTATTCCAAAGATGGTGATGGGATAAAATGCTCCCTAGATTATGATGAGGCTGTGGCAACTCCCTCTACACCTTCAGGTGGTTGTTGTAAAATAATTTATACCCACCTTTCAACCCCTACAGATGTCTTTCAAGGTGATAGCTCAATGGGTAGAATGTGTGACTCTTAATCTCAGGGTCGTGGTTTCAACTGGGGAGAAACTTCCTACAGGGCAGGGGGTTGGACTAGATGACCGTTGGGGTTTCTTCCAACTCTACAATTCTGTGACACCAGTCATCACATCCACACACAATGTTTAGAGGTTGCAGAGCAGTATTGGATGACTCTTGGTCGCTCCTTGTTTATATTCAAGAGATCCAGTATCATATACATGCATTTTACATGGTACACAAATACATGGTGGGTCCAGGGGTAGGAGATGAAAATGATTGTTCCTGATCATAGGTTTGGAAGGAATGGGAAGGTTCTGCTATCATTCAGGGTAATCTCTCCACCGCCCTAGCCAAATCAGCCTCTACAGTCCAGTCCCCCACGTATATGTAATACACAAAATACTTATATACACACAAATTGAAGGAATTTACTGCAGAGCGGATAGAGCCAGATGGCACAGGCTTGAGAAGACAAGCAAGGGCATCTTTACCATCAACTCTACACATGTTCGCTCAAAAGTAATTTCCATCAAGTTCACTTCATTTTAGGTAACTACTGTATGTATTGGATTGTAACTATCAAAATCCAGCATTTGTTTAGCAAAAGATAAGGAGCCTATTATGTGACTGGGTGGCTATTTTGTTACTCTTGCAACTCTTACACCAAAGGGATTTAATACTTAATAAGGGTTGCCAATGTGTGGACTTGGCCCAGCTGAAGATTGATGGTAGAGTTGTAAGAACTACCACATAAAAAGAATAGTGGCTTAGACTAGCCAAGGTTGATAATATGAATCATAACTTTTTGGAAAAGCCTAAAAATCTTAGCCAGATCATTTATTGAAATAGAAAGCAAAAAGTGGTGGTGCTTAGATGACATGCAGTGAAAATTGGCCAAGATTCCAAAACCAGTAAAGATTTTTTCTTTTGTTCATCGCTTTCCTTCTCCCTCAGCAGTAGATATAGATTAGAGTGTAATGTGCTTTTGGCACAATTCTTCATTCCAGAAATTGGGACCCGTTAAGAAGAAGCTAGGTTAGAGGTGAAGGGTGGGTTCTGTTTGAGTCAAGGAAAGTGATGCAAATTGATGTTTTATTTATTTATTTATATTTTAATAAGAGGTTAATAATGGTAAAAGAGCAAGCTAAGATGCACTGTGTTATCAGTACATTTCTCCATGACAATAATGGCAGAGGGAAATAAGATGAGGGAGTCATTCTCACCTGTCCTTCTTGGAAATAAATGTCATCCTGGCTTGTGAAATTTACTGGATAGCATATATTGAATCATTGACCTTAGGAAAGAGAACATTTATTATTGTAGAGTCAACACTTCTCTGTCCTCTGTGTATAGAATACAGATGGACCCTTCCTCACCATTCATTCCCCTCCTCTTTTGCACATGGGAGATGACACTCTCCTAACCAGCCCAGCCATTTGCTCCTAGCGCAAACCCCTTTCTTCCACTGAGAGTTTTTCATATGCCATTTTGCAAGCACGTTCCACTACTTGATTTTGGAAGTTGTATTCCTTTGTAAGAGCAACATTTTCCAAAGAGTGATTGGGAGTATGTGGAAGAGGAAAATATGCTTCATTATATTTGTTACATATTCATTTAGCTGCTATTCAAATATCCTGCGCCCAGAGTTTTGGGATTCTGTCCGTAAACTTTGTTCTTGATCAATCTCCTCCTTGCTTCACAGGATCTGACAATCCCTGAATCGAGCACAGTGAAGAGAATGATGACTGGCACCATGGCTGGCTTTAAATGGCCACCGAGTGTAAGCGAGGTGATTTAATTCTTTGTCTTTTCCTCAGTGGAAAAAATTCTAGCATTTCTGCTGTTGTACGAAGCACAGTGGGGTGGATCACAGTAATCCTCTACTTTGCATACATCAGAGTTTCTTAATGGAAGGCTTGGTTCCCCATATTTTGTGCAAGAGACCCTTTCCTTCCTTGTTCTTCCATTTCCAGTCCTCTCTGTGCATGACTTGCATCATGCCCCTTTTCCAGTTTCAATTACTCACCTCTTGTATTACTTCATCTCCTCTCTCTTACTGTCCCTATTCCTGTACCCATCTCTGCATTGACCTGGTTACTGTCTGTTTCATATGGGCAAAGGGAAACAAGAGGAGGAGCCACTGGGCTCATTCTAACATAACACTAAACCATGGTTTAGCATGAACTGAAACAAACCTGAATAAAGCCTTGGATTCACCATCAGCCAAGAGAAGGATTTCTGCAGCATTTAGATTTGCTTCCATTGAAACCTGGCTTATTATGTGCAAACCAGGCATTGTGGTTTAAAGATGTTTTGGTCAGCTTCTGAGCAAACCAACTACTAACCATGGATTATGAAGCTGGCTTGCTCAATTTAACCAAAGCTTGTTTTAAACCACAGTTATATTGTGAAGACAAGTTAGATTTCAAATCTATAGAAGGCCTCCTGGTTGCATGGGAGAAGATTATTTGCTCTTGCTCATTCCAGCACATGTACATAGTACCAAACCATAGTTTACAGTTGCATACAAACCAGCCCACTGTAGAAGAGGCGTTACTTTTCCATGCATTGGTGCTTTAAGTTGGGTCTCCTGGTGCCATGGTGATGTCAGGTGATTGACAGTTGTGTAGCCCTGTTTACCCATCAAAATGGTCTGGGGTGTGTGTGAGGAGTTTGGGATCTGGTCATTCCTCATTCCTGACAAAACCCATTCTGCAGTCTTTCAGTCTTAAGATGACAATAGTAGTCTTCATCTTGTAGCCTAGTTTAATTAGTCTAATAGCTATGCCTTAGCTTCTTAAAACATTTTAAAATTAAATGTATATAAATAATAAAAATATTTTTATTTAAGTCATTTCTTAGGGCAGCTCTCTAAAATGGTTTAAATCACATGCCATGAACAGTGCATTTACTTGTATTTAAAGGTCTCAGATTACTATTGCACGAGGCATGCCAGGCCTGAGAAGCAAGCTATAAGCATGTTCTTATATATGTTTACTCAAAAGTAAGGCCTATCAATTTCAGTAAGGCTCATTCCCTGTTTACTTATTTGTAAAGTGTTCTCTGAGAAACTCACTTTGGAAATATAAAAAAAGCTGTTACGTTATGAACATAGTGGCTCAAATGCAAAAATATAGCTTGTGAACATGAACAGAAATGCTCCTGTCTTTCATCACCAGGTGGTAACCATAAATAGCTTCCATATTTTGGGGGTTAGAGAAAATAACTTGGGAAATGGGGATGAGACCCACAAAGTGAAGCAATGCAGAGCAAGACATCACTCTTCTCCTCCCCAGAAACACTAGCATGCTCAACTTCAAATTTCCTATCTTCTCCCACCCCTTAGACTCCAATGTTATGCAGTTATAGTAAAGAATGACCCCTCACACTTCCAGGCAAACTCCCTGCAACACAGAAGTCATGCAGGTCTATCCCAGAAAGAAAGGAAAAAAGAAACCAAAGGCAAACACACATCATGTTCAGAATTTGCTTTTTGCATAGCTCAGCATGTTCATTGTTGCCTCTTTGATCTTTGAAATGCAATACACGTAAGCTAGGAGGTAAGGGTAGAAGCTCAGCAGCACAGGTGATTGTCTGGGGCTCTAGGGCTGCCACTCTACAGCCCTCTGGCAGCAGTGAGGAGGCAGCAGGACTTCCTATAAAGAATGCAGCAGTTGGCAAAGTTGGTAGGGCAGGGTTAGTCAATGTGGTGGCCTCCACTGTTGCTGAACTCCCATCAGCCCCAGCCAGCATAACCACTGGTAAGGGATGAAGGGTGTTACAGTCTAGCAATGCCTGGAGGGGTGGGCACCACATGGGCTACTCCTGTACTAGGTCCAATAGCAGAGAGGGGATAAAACTCATGGAATTGTTGGCTGATAGAAGTCTTGTCACATGATTCTCCCTGCAATTTCCCCTCCCCTCCTACACTTCATTGCTCAGTTCTGAGGGCAAAACTACACAAAAAGCTAAATACATCTTTGCATTTGGCTTGCAGGGTTTTTAAATACAAATTTCCTTCCAAACCAAATTTTATTTATTTATCATAATTATTTGTTTGCTTGTTTATTTATTATTAGTCAGATTTGTATACCGGCCTGCATCCGAAGATCACAGGGTGGTTCACAACATAAAAACACAAAATGTGAACCCAAAATATATAATAAAACAAAAACAAACCAGTAATCTCCCACCTGCAAACACATTTAAACAGCCATAGAATGTTAAGCAGCCGAAGACGTGGTTATAGAGAAACAATTTTTCCAGGCGTCTTCAGATAGGCAATGAAGGCACCAGGTGAGCCTCCCTGCAGAGAGCATTCCACAAACTGGGAGCCACCACAGGAAAGGCACATTTTTGTGTTGCCACCCTCTGGTCCTTTCGTGGAGGAAGCACACAAAGAAGGGCTTCAGAGGATGATCTCTGTATCTGGGCTGGTTCATATGGAAAGAGGCAGTGATGACGAACATCGAAACCTATTACACTGTTAACACAATACTAATTGAATCTTGTCTTTCTCTTTGTTGTGTGGACCATTGGTAGAAAATATAAGGAGGGGTAAGGATGATTAGATAACCAGTCAAGACCAATTATTAGTTGAAGAGTTGATAGTGGCTGGTGCCAAGAGGCAGAAGATAAAAAAAAGCAGTCAAAGTAGTTTCTGAGATATCACTTTAGGTTTGGTTTTAGGAGTTGGCAAACTGTGTCCCTCACCATTTAACATTTATCAGAAACATTTCACTTAAATTGATGATTTCCATCTAACATGAACATGCTCTTAGAATGGGTAGTGTTTAACTGATTTATTTAAAGCAGTAATAAACCGCTCTTCAGACCAAAAAAAAGGCTTCCTAAGTGACTTTTTTTTAATAAAAAAAAATTGAGATCACAGACCTGTAGCAGAATTTTAAGCATGTTTATTCAGAAGTAAATTGCTTGCTGCTTAATAGTGTGCTTAGGATTGCAACTTAGAAACCAATACATTCAGATGAGTCCTGTTTTTAAACGGAAAGTGCTTTTATGGGATATATCACAAGCTTAAATATATCCCAAGGAGTCATTTTCAAGCAGCCTCCCATAATGTTGCCATGGGTGGCTTTCACTGAAGAGGCTACTGTGTGTATTATGTCCTGGAAATTAATTTCCTTCTCCTGCCAATTCTTTCTGAGCTGAACTCCCCAGCCTGCCTCTCCTGGACTCTCTTAATTCCCACCTCTATTATCAAGCATAATGATAACTTCTTGACACACATCCTGTATTAGGTACAGAGATAAAAACAAGACTCTTGCTAGTCTGTGGCAGACATCAAGGAGTCTCCTCAGAATTGAGAAAGTGACGACCCATTAAAATGTGTGTGGAGGCTTTTCAGACTTGAAGTTTGGTTGCCTTGGTTTCTAAGTTTGCCTCTTTGCAATTGCAGCCTGTGAAAGATGGCGACCCTCATTTCCATCACTTCCTGCTTAGCCAGACAGAGAAGGTGAGCAATAGGTTTGGCTGATGAGTTCATTGCTTGTGGCACTTCAGGAGCTGAAGTCTCTGTGCCAGGTTTCATTAGTTTTGCTTTGGCATTCATAAGTGAAAATGCCTTTAAAGTTGAGCTGTGACATCCTCAGATTTCCCTGAGGAACAGCAGTTTTTCACTTGTACATATGGGACAAGTATGATTTTAAAAGTTAATGGAGCAGGTCACCAGAAGTTGCTCATAAGGCAGCTATAGGGAGATAACAGTCATTTATTCCACCCCACATGCATTTCATAAAGATTCCTCCATCCTAAGGGAGCATGGTTGGGGAGTAGGAAATAGGACGTTGCCTTATACTGAACCAGATCATTGATCCATCTAGTTCAGTATCACCCTAAGCCTAGACTCTACACTGACTGGCAGCTGCTCTCCAATGCTAGTGATTGAAACTGGGTCCTTCTGTATGCAAAGCAAGTGTTCTACCAACTGACCTGCAGCTGTTCTCCTGCAATAATTATTTACTATTACCATATACGCTTGGGGTTTTTTTTGCCAGATCTCTCTAAGCTTGGTTCTTCACCTATGAGTTCACAGTGTTATCTGGAATTGCCCTGGAGGGAAGGGGTTGAACATAAGAACTATTTTTCTCATACAGAAAGTAGGGTGGGGTGTCTCTGGCTTGCTCATAATTAATTGTCTATTCATGCTGAGTATATAGGTATACTTGCCCTGCAAGACAGCAAAAGAGTTTTCCCCCAAATCTGTTATTTTCCTTTTCCTCTCTATGCAGCCGGCTGTTTGCTACCAAGCCATCACAAAGAAGCTGAAGGTGTGTGAAGAGGTATAGCAGACTTCCGTTTTTACACGCCTGCATTATAGTTTTGAGACAGCCTGTTTCTGTAAAGTAAAATTATCTTTTATGGCTGTGTTTTTTCTACCCCTTAGGAAACAGGGTCCACGTCTATCCAGGCAGCCGACAGCACGGCTATCAATGGCAGCATCACTCCCACAGACAAGAAGTAAGAACCTCCTTTTCTTTCATTTCCCTCTGATTCTGAAGTCTGCCATGTCTGCCTGTTGGCTTAAGAAGCAATTTGGTACATATATGTAAACAGTTATAACAATCGCATGTATAAAACATTTTTAAAAACCATAGTTATATGTGTTACAGCATTTGAAAATAAGATCACATATGGAAAACTTATTCAGATTCAAAGCAGATACCAGTTGGGATAAATATTTTAGAAGGCTTGTTAAAAGAGGAATGGCTGAGTGAGTTTGTGTTTTTATAAAAGTATTTCTGTATCACCATATTATAAAATATAAGGGTGATGTACAACAAAACATAAAACACCATTAAAAACAATTCAGAGAATCACTAAAGTAACTGGCTAGTCTAAACATTAGAAATTTAAATAGCTGCAAAGGCCTTCCAGGATTAAAAAAAAAGGCTCCAAGAGATGCAAGAAAGTCAAAAGCAATGAGTTTCTTGAAGAAGAGCATGATCAAACTAGGATAAATAAAATTAGCAAGACTTCCTGGATATCGTAATGAGCCTGCCTGCTGGTCTGATGAATGCATTTTGAAAAATGAAAGTTGCTTTTATCACAACTCTATGGTCGTTGCATGAATGTGCTGGGAGTTGCCTAGTCTATATGTGGGCGAAAGCATTGTCCTGCAAGGCAGGTCAGGTGGCCTAATCTGTTTAACCACCAACCCCAAACCACCAGACACATGGGTAGAGGCGGAAGCATTGTACCTTCCAAGAACGGCACTCTGTGACACTTGTGTCCTCTGGCACTTCCTGTGCTTCCCCCCTCTCCTTTCTAGAGTGACAGGAGCTACAGTTGCACTTCCTGCCTCGCTCTCGGAAGCAATTTCCCTCCTGCTCCGATGCAGAACAGGCTGTGGCCTGTTTGTGGCTGGAGCTGTCTCGGAATGTCCGTTTTTCAGGCTTGCTGAAGGGAAACTTAATATATAACAATGAAAGTATTCAGGTAAACCCTTTCCCCTTAGCAATTCGGAAGCAGACAATGCGTTCCTCTGGGTTGGGCTCAGTTAGTGTGAAAATGTCTTAGCAGTGGCTTGCCGCAAGCCTCTCATGGTGGTTTAGTTAAGCATTGCAAGTGCTGCCAGCTGTGAACTGAACAGCAGACATACAGGAAGCTAAAATGTGTTAGCTTTATTAAGATCAGTTTTGAAATGCCTTTGTTAATTGAGGAGGGAAACAGTCACTTGTACTCTTTGTAAGTTTCCAAGGGTAATTTGTCTTTGTTCCATTCTGGTATCCCTTGTTCTTGCCACTGCCTCTTTATAGTTTACTTAAAGTGCATGCAGGGCCCTCTCAACCAAAATTCTTCCAATACCCCCCTTCCCTCCTTACTAATTTGGATAAGGAATGTTGCATGTTAGCAGTGGCTTTTCCTAAGCATGAAACCAGAGTGGCTGCTAACATGTGAACTGTAGCTTAAACAAGCACTTGATTCTCTTTTAAGTGGCATGGCAGAAAGATTTACGAAAACATAAGTGACTTTTGATCTGTGAGTTGTGCACCAGGATACCAAATGCTGTGTTGAGCCTTCTGAGGCAAACTAGCTAAGAGAGGGAGTTGCCCAGTCATTGCTGAACTGTACTCAAATTTAGACCTTGCACATGCAAACCCAAGACATTTTTCACTGCACCGTCCTAGTCCGTTTTGTGCTATCAGTGAGTATGACTTTGTGCACCCAGTTTTTTGTCCTCCTAGGATGAGGTTCTCTTATCTGCCTGAGCAGAAAGTAATGTATCTTAAGTCCAGACTGCTTGTTTAGGCATGCTGTATAGAGCAGATTTTTTATGTCGTGTCAGCCATTGGCTCTTTGCTAGGGATATAAATGTGATCCTTTTGGTGTTCCTGCTCCTGAGAACATTGGTGCTCACCCAATAAATCCTCTGTTACTATGAATTACGCACTTTGCTGCCTGCCTCCGTATGTCTTGTTTCCATTAAGCTTGAACCCCACAAGGCCTCGAAGAGCTTCTGCTTCTATATCTCCAACCTCACATTAAGCCCTTATGCCAATTTCCAACACTACAAACTTCCTTCTCTCCTCCCCAGGATAGGTTTCCTTGGCCTTGGCCTGATGGGGAGTGGCATCGTGTCCAACTTACTAAAAATGGGTCACACTGTCACGGTCTGGAACCGGACTGCTGAAAAGGTGAGTTCATTCTTTGGAATGTATGAGACGATATCATACATGATCTTGGTCACCTAGTCTAAGCTTATGCATCTGCAGAGAGACTTCATTATGAAGCTGTGGCGACTTTCAGCTTGGCTGACCATAAGCCATCATCCCAAATGTGAACAGTGGGGTTTCACTGAGCTTGGAAGTATAGTAATGAGAAGCCATTTAGACAAAAAGTATGCCTTTCTGTCAGTCACGTCCGAGACATGCATTTCTGAGCTCCACCACTGCTGTGACAAAGTCAGCTTAAATTATCACACCAGAACATAGTAGCCATGGTAACATTTTCCTTCCCTCTGCTTCATGTTCTTTCCTCTCATTTTGTGCTATTTTTGTGACTAGTAGCAGAAGCTCTGCCTTCTGATCTCTGGAGCAGCTGTGCCCACATCATTCTTGTATCAAGTTTTTGGAGATGGATTTATTTATTTGAAGCATTGGTTTACCCTGCCCTTCAGCCAAAAAGGCTCCTGGAATAGCTTGTATATGAGATCAGTAGCATATAAGCCAGTCCCTTCAGGCTTTCAACCTAACAGATACAACACAAGAGGAAAAGGAAGAGAAGCCGACTCAGTCATCAGTTCGTAGTGAACACATAAGTAGCTTTTGAATGGGAAGATTTGAATGAGAGGAGGCCAGTGGCAGCCTGTCTCAGCAGAGTCAATGGAGTGGACCCTGAAGCCCCTCTGTCCCTCTGCTACAGCCAGCTGGAATGGCTAGTCTATAAATTGCTTGAGCACAGTGGAGTGAGAGATAGTGTGCATGTCTAATTCTTAAAAGCAGTGATCAAACTCACAGTGGTCCCGTCCCCCCTTATTCTGGGGTGAAAGCAATCAAGAGACTTGGTTTTGGAGCTACCATCTAGCAGCCTGTGACAGCAGGGGAATGGCCCAAATGTTCAGTGCCCACACAGAGATGATGAAAGCTAGTGCCAGGACCCATCCCCACCTACTGCCACCAGTAGAAAGTAGCAGGTTGTCTTCTGTCATTCAGGACAGGTGAGGTTTTCTATTCCCCACCAGCCCACATGGGCTGTGTTTTGGAACTGGGCTCTAGCTGTTACTACCTGTTTGGCTATTAGAAGGTAGCCTGCTATCAATGGCCTCTTGAGCTGAGGGCCTGATAAGTTGCTATGGAACCCCTGGGGTCTTTGGAATGCTCCTTGAAATGCACTGCCTAAAGTAAGAGGATAGCTAACCACTCTAGAAAGCAGAGAAGAGAACCTGACATCACTGAACGTGATCTCCACACCCCAGAAAACGAGGTCCTTCTAAATAGCCTAGCCCTGTTTCATTTTGTTCATGTGAATGTGGTCCAGGATGCAATCCTCTTCAGTTCACCATGGGCACATCAGAGTCCCTGGTAGAGCGAAGCCAGCTTTGACCTTTATTATTCAGTGGTTTCCATTTCTTACATTTGGGTCTGTGACTTTTGCAGTGTGATTTGTTCATCCAGGAGGGGGCAAGGTTGGGAAGAACCCCCGCTGAAGTGGTCTCCACCTGTGACATCACTTTCGCCTGCGTATCTGATCCAAAGGCAGCCAAGGATGTAAGGATTATCTCTTTTTCTTGCACGCTCTCACCTTTCTCTCAGTGCTGTACACAGTGCTGACTTTCCATGACCAAAAACTCTTCCAAAACATACTGACTCCATTGATTCCAGTCATGAATCTCTGCAGCTCTTTAATTCTAAGCCAAGAAAGTGCAGAAATCATATTCCTCATTGTAATGGATGCCCCAAAGTTTGTCTGGTACAGTAATTCCAAAACTGTGCATCAGGGCATGCTAGTGTACTGCAAGAGAGACTGAAGTGTGCCTTGAAAAAATTAGTAAACTGGAGGCGTCCTCCATTCTGTGCTCCTTATAGCAGTGAGGGCCCGTGCAACATTGATTAACCTTCCTCCCTTTTTACTTAGCATATATATAAGGACATACTAGAATTAGACTATTTGAATTGTATCAGAATATTCAATTGGAATAAGCGTGCGCTAGGATTTCCTTATGCAATTGCTGATGGATGCAGGAAAAGCCCAGAAGCATCACTGTTGTCTTGCCTTGACTGGGAAGGGGGAAATAGGAGGTAGTGGTAGTTTCAAGGAGGAAGCCTGCCTGCTGTTCTGGGAACAGAAATTGTGAGAATTAAGAGTGAAGTGTGCCTCCCAGTTTTAAATCATGGGTGGAAACTGATCAGAGTATCAAAACATGGCTCTAGTATTTAGAACAAGGTCAGCCTGTCTTTTCAGCTGTGTGTTGATATTTTCTGCCCAAATGTTTAATCTCCTTCTAAAGGCTTTTCTGTCAAATGACTGGAATAGTTCACAGTAGGTTTGGGCAGAGCTGGTTACTTTTGCTTTTTGTTTTCTTCATTTTGTGTGGTTGCTGGTGTAGTGTATGTTTATAATTTTCATGATCCTCTTTGAAGGCTGTAGTCTAAAGGCAATATATAAAACAAATAAAGGACTGTGTGTGCTGTGGGATAGGATAACCACAGTCAGCCACAGAAGCAAATTGTATCACTTCACAGTTTAAAATGTTTTAGATAACTTTATTGTGACTTTTCCATAACCGCAGCCAACCCTGTGAGAGGTTGCTATTGTTCCCATTTTACAGCTGAGGAACAGAGGCTGAGAGTGACTTGGATGAGACCACCAAGAGGTGGAGCTTGAACCTCGGTCTCAAAGGCTGAGGTCAGATGGAGTTTGATTAGTGTGTGCTTTCCCAGTAGCACACTCCTAAAACCTGAGACTACTAATAGAGGGTGGAATAAAGAGGACTGTGCTTGTGCTGCAAGTTTTGTAGCTCTTATGTGGCTGTAAGAGTAGGCTTGAAAAACTGTTATCTGTGCTTAGCAAAATCTCAGAAAAGCAGCAGAGAATCCCCTGGCACAGTTAAGTATATTTTTCTATTAAGTGATTTTGCTCCAGGGTCCTACCTAAGCTCATCTTATCCATATAACTCAACCAATGCACAATACAAGTAAAATACACAAAAATAATTGTGTGGCTGAGTGTATATGAGGTAGAGTAACACAAAATGTATGATCTGCTCCTCCTAATAGGACCTAAGAAGCTACCATTGTGCCAGGTCAGACCAGGTCCATCTAGCCCGGGAGTTAGGCAACTCTTCATCTGCTACCTTTCTAAAAAAGGATTTTCCCTTCCCATATCATTTAAAATGGGCTGCTGTCATAACCAGCACCCATCCAGAGCCCTACAATGTCAACACATCAATCAAATCTTACCCCTTCTGTTTTATATATATGTAACTGCAAGGCTGTGAAGTTAATAGAATGGGAGGTTTATCCTTGAGTAAGAAGTTGGGCTGCATGAATTTTCTGCGCATGCTCGGCTGACCCTGTGAGAAACTAGTCTTATTTCTGTGTGACCCAGTTTCTCCCCTCTGCTTGGAACTGCAAATTGTAATACATCCTAATGGAGCTTCAACCAGACATTCCTTATCCAAGATAGAGAGAAAATGTTGCCCAAGGCAGTAATGCCATCTTCCTGATCCTTTGTTAAAAGGTAAAGGTACCCCTGCCCGTACGGGCCAGTCGTGTCCGACTCTGGGGTTGTGCGCCCATCTCACTTAAGAGGCCGGGGGCCAGCGCTGTCCGGAGACACTTCCGGGTCACGTGGCCAGCGTGACAAAGCCGCATCTGGCGAGCCAGCGCAGCACACGGAAACGCCGTTTACCTTCCCGCTAGTTAGCGGTCCCTATTTATCTACTTGCACCCGGGGGTGCTTTTGAACTGCTAGGTTGGCAGGCGCTGGGACCGAACGACGGGAGCGCACCCCGCCGCGGGGATTCGAACCACCGACCTTTCGGTCGGCAAGTCCTAGGCGCTGAGGCTTTAACCCACAGCGCCACCCGCGTCCCTGGTGTTAGAGCTTCCTTAAAACTATCCTCTGTCTAAAGTGAACAGCAGCATCCTATAAGGTAAATAATGTTGAGGCCACTCAAGTCATGTGGGCACTTTCAGCAAGCCCTTGTGCAGAGATGGTTAGCAGGAGGCCCTTTAGCATTGGCACAGGTGGATTTCCTTTGCAGACACCCTATTGCTTTGGCGCTCTTCTATTCCCACAGCTGGTGCTTGGTCCTAGTGGAGTACTCCAGGGTATACGTCCAGGAAAGTGCTACGTGGACATGTCCACCGTGGATGCAGACACTGTTACAGAACTGGCTCAGGTAAGCATTGCAAACTGAGTGCCTGATGTTATTTTAAATCATGTAATAGTGTTAGCTCTCCTTCAGGATGGTGTTCATTCACTCTTTTTCTGCTACATGCAAATTCTGCCTTAAAAGAGCCAGGCAATTTGCAAGCTTACTAAAAATTGAGACCTGTAACCAGAGATTCGGATTTTTGATTCAAATGATTTGTGGAAGTCTGCCTCACCTCCCTGTACCACGTTCTCTCCATGTCAAAGTTCCTTTGCCCATTTCCTTCTTGCAAACTGTATGCCCTTTTGCACACACATGCACCTGCCTACTGTCCTTAGGATCTCTGAACTTTTTCTTCGATCTAAAGAAATGGTAGCCAGTGTGGTGCCCTCCAGATACTGTTGGAGTCCACGAACAACTAGAGGGCACCAAGTTGGCTGCCCCTAAATTGATGTGACCTTTCACTTCCCTCAAAAGTAGCTGCGCTGTCAATAGTCTCCTGCTGACATACTCAACATTAGCCAATATATGGGGTGTTTTCACCATCAGTGTCACCACAACAGGTTAACCCAATGGCTAGAGGGAGTTCATGGGTGCTCCTGTCATTAATAGGTGTTTGGGGTTTCCTGTATTTCCTGATGGTTTTCAAGGTGTAGCTTTCTTCTTAGACCTCTTGGTTGGTGCTGTATGTGTGTGCCCCATTTAATTGGGACATTTCTTCTCATTTCTTCCAGGTGATCGTATCCAGGGGTGGTCGCTTCCTGGAGGCACCAGTTTCAGGGAACCAACAACTCTCTAATGATGGCATGCTGGTGATACTAGCCGCCGGTGACAGGGGCTTATATGAAGACTGCAGTAGTTGTTTCCAAGCAATGGGGAAAACCTCTTTTTTTCTAGGTAATACCTTTATCCCAGTGCTGAAGAGAATCATAGTAGGCTGAATATAGTTTAAGCCCATTGAATTCAGTTGGCTTTAGTGTGCCTCGATTTGTATAGTAAGGATGGGCAATCTGTGGTCCTCCACACTGTTGTTCAACTAAAATTCCCAGCAGCTCCAGGCCAGCTGATGGCCAATAATCAGGAGTTGATCTGGAGGGCACCATGTTGCCCACCCTTGCTATCAGTATCTCCATTCTGAGAGGTGGAATAGGAAGGTGAGTCTCCCCTCAGCATGTTTAGGCAAGAGAACATAAAACTGTGTAGTCAAAAAATTGTTTTGGAATCCAGAGTCTGTCTGAAGCAGTGATACAGGCAACCCCTGATTTGCAGAAGGGTTGTGTAAGGAGTCACATGCACAACTGCGGAGCACACATAAGCCCACTATGCTCCCACCTGCTGTTAGGCCCCCTTTTCTGGCCGCTTCCAGGTTGCTGTCATTCATGCATTCATATTAGGGATTCAGTCCACCCACCCCAAACCAAAGATGTGGTTGCTTTCACTGGGTGTCTTTCAGAACGGCTTAGATGTCAGTGGGCATGGTGCAGGTTCTTGGTTTTTTCCTTATATAGAGCTGTCCAACAGTGTGTGCCTCTCTCACAGGGGAAGTGGGCAACGCTGCCAAGATGATGCTCATTGTGAACATGGTCCAAGGAAGCTTCATGGCCACAATAGCAGAAGGACTAACTCTGGCTCAAGTGACTGGTCAGTCGCAGCAGACTCTTCTGGATATCCTCAACCAGGGACAGCTCGCCAGCATCTTCTTGGACCAGAAGTGCCAAAGTAAAGTCCTCTCCCATCTTTCCTTCTTAACCAGAAAGCTGGTATCTCTTTTAAGTGTCACCAAACAGTTGCATAGTGGGGTTCAAAGAGTGGGGGAGAGGAGATAACCATTGCTTCTGGATTCCCTGTTCCATTAGTAGTGTAGGATGGATTTGCTGCAGATTCATACTCCCACATCCAAGCCAAAGATTTTATCCACTGAACATTGCATGCTTGTTGCTACTTCATCTGTCTTCACAGCCAGGCTTTTAAAAATATGGGGTGATACAGGAAGTCCATGGTTGGGGGAGGGTCACAGTTTAGCAGTGTCCTAGGTTTTGTCACTGAAAGGAGGGCTAGGAAAGATATCTGCCTTGAAGATCACTTTAGAGTAGCAATCTGACTCTACTTGACGTCTTTAAGCAGAATCAGTTTGATCCTGGCACTGGTGAAATCTGCAAGGGAAGAGAGAAAGCAAGTCAGCAGCTGGGAAAGTGGAATGTGAAATGTATCTGGGGTTTTGTTTCTTTTCTTTTTTTTCCAGACATCCTGCAAGGAAATTTTAAACCAGATTTCTACCTGAAATACATCCAGAAGGATCTCAGATTAGCCATTGCACTAGGCGATTCTGTTAACCACCCAACTCCCATGGCAGCTGCAGCCAATGAGGTATGTGTGCTGCCCATGCCTCCTCTCTTGCTCCAGTTCCATCTTTAGGAGAGCTCCTGATACCCCTTTTGTAAAGGTCAGGGGAGTTGCCACTTTGGCCCTGCATGGCCAAGCCTCTTTGGGTGCCTTGGCCACGCGGCCCCCAGTCTTCCAACTTTGGAGGTATGGCTCACTGGCAAAGGACTCCCACCCTTCTTCTTAGCTTCAAAGTTTGGAAATAGGCTGGACCACCCACCATCCTTGCCAGAGGGATGCATCACACTTGCTTAGATAAGTGATGGCTGGGAAAAAGGTGGATGGGAAACGACCATTTTTTCACCTATTTTTAATGGGCCTTCACATCTGCACACTTGCCATGTCAAGCAGACTTCTTGAACCCTGATCTTCTTGATAAGTCCATACACACACTTTTTTTTTTAAGATAGCAGGCACTTATACAAAGGTGATCTTGATGGTGCCCCTTGTTTATGACACTCTTTTCTTGATTTGCCAAGTCCTCTAGGGTTTAACCATTTTTCAAAGCATTGTAAAACATTTTTGTTTGCATTGGCTAAACAAACATGGTTAAAATTAAACCTCTAGAACATTTCTTGTTCAACTCCCATCATCCCATCATGCTTGGCAGGCCTGAAGTCTAACAACATCTGGAAGGCCACAGGTTGCCCATCCTGGTTTAGAGTTTGGTGATTTAATACTGCTTATGGCTGTTGAAAGTTTATATTTTAATGGAATTTTTTGGCTCTTTTACATGACACAGTATCGCCTTTCCTGTGGGGGGAAGCTTTGTTAGGGCTAATTATGGCCAGCAGGCTTTTCCTCATAGTGAGCTACACATAGGTGCTGGCTGTGGCCCCAATTCCCCAACTCACATAGCATTCCTTGAAGGGAAGTGTTTATAGATATTGCTGAGGCAGTTCTGTATTCTAGTGGGAAACCAATAGTATTATGAGAATACTTGCTTTCTGAAAGGACTGCTCTCTTATTGCCTTTCTCTTTCTTCAGGTCTACAAACGAGCAAAAGCATTGGACCAATCTGACAATGACATGTCTGCTGTGTACAGGGCCTACATCCACTAGGCTACCCCATTCTTGTTAATACCATGATTATTAATTATGATGATGATGATGAATACTGGGTTTTAACTCTGGACCAGTCCATCTCTGTCTCTCTGTCTCTCTCTCCTTTTCTTCCCCCCACCTCTCCTCAATTGTTTTTCCTTTTTTAAAATACAAAAACTCTCCTGGGATCTGCCACAAGGGCAGATTCTACAGCAAGCCTTCCTGTGCCAGCAGCAGCAAGAGTAGGAGGGAAAGGGCTTGGATCATTGCCTTCTTGACAACAAATTATACCACATTCTCAGAGTCACAGAATGGAATTGGCTGCAGGTCGTCTCAGAAACCCCTGAGGTGACTCTTGCCAGGAAGTCTGCTGCTTGGCTTCTTCTGGTGTTCACTTTTGTACCAGTGTCCTCAAGAGGTTGTTTGTTTGTTTTTAACTGCTGTTTCACTTATTTGCTGTGGGTAATGTGTTCATTGTCCTCTCTTATGCACTAGGGACAATTGAAAGAAGGCTGTCTCACCTGCCTGTGAACCTGGGTGGCTCAATCTCAGGCCCTCTAGATGCTGATGCACTACAGCTTCCACAAGCAAGATCAGTGGCCCAGTCATGACGGGAGTTGTCGTTCAGCAACATCTGGAGGGCCAGAGATTTCCCACACCTGGTCTAGACCCTGGGAACCTGGCTCCACTTTTTTTTCCTAGGAGGGAAGCAGTCACAATCAAGAAGACGACAGGGCTAAAATTAGCATTGTAGTTTCGGATATTCCCCACCTCAGTATCTCAGTGGAATTAGTTACGAGAACCAAAACAGGCTCCATCCATGGCCCTTCCCATTCAGACAGCTTAGTTTTTAGTGTACACAGGATCCAGCATATGCCTGTGGCACTTGGATATGCCAAATGCATTTAGAACAGCCTTTGGTTTTCCAAGCATTGTTCAACTCCAAATCCAAGGCAGTCTTGGAACAAAGGGATTTTTGTCCCCCCAGCATCTGGAGGGCACAGATTCCCCATTGTTGATTTTAAAAAGACTCCAGTTCCCAAAAGGTTAATCCAGTCTTGAATATTGCTGTAAAACCCCATTGCTTATTATAATTCAGAAAATGAACTGGTATGTGTTTTAATGAGCAAAGGTAGAAACTTTGGTGTCTTTCTTTGGTTTTATGTCATGAGAACATGCACAGTGTGCACGCACCCGATCTTCTGTGGCTGTTAGTGTTGGCAAAGATTATTAGGATTCTTTTCATGTTGCCAGAGAGCCAAAGGGCAAGGTAATAGAAAGTGGCTTCAGAAAGACCCAAAATCTAAACCCAGAATCTTGACTTCCATGTTTCCCTTTCTGTAAAAGTGGAGGAGATATGCCTATTCGTTGGCAAGAACTTTAATACAGCCTAATAAACTCTGCTTGCATGAATGGCGGTGACAACAGGCTTTGAATTGATATGCTGTCATCTGTTGGTGAAGTTGTGAGCACTCCAGCAGATTGACCAAGTACCCATACTTTGGAAATAACCTAGTAAAGGGAAGTGGGGAATGGCTCCTGCTGTTGAGGCCATTTACCATGCTGGGTCTCACTGGAAGTCAAGTAGGGTCCCAGAGAATTCAAATAAATCTATGAATCAACCAGAGCTGCCGTTGAGGGAGGGTGAGCTTTTGAGGCCAACAGAACTTGACCATATGATTCCATGTAAAAAATAGCTGGTGTCAAATGAACAGTCCTGAGTTCTCTCTGGCAGCTCCTGAGCTTTCAAAATGGAATGCAAGGATATACAAAGTAGGTGCTGTACAAATGCCCCCATGTCTTAAGTACATCAACTGAGTGTTAGTCTTGGAAGAGAATCCCCTGTTCACACTTGGAAAGCAGCAGGATGGACACCCCTTGCTGTTCACACATCAGATTTCACATTTTCCATGGGTGTCCTGCAGCTGTAGAGCCCTAATATGCACAGACCCAACCTGCACAGTAATCCGTACTTCCATTTTGTAGTGAATATACCACATGGACCAGGACGTTACCTTGATCAGGACCTTCACATTTGTAGATCCAGTACAAAAACGAAAGCCACACTCCTCTGGTTGCTTGTTACTTCTGTGGTATTTTAGCAGTCGGCCTGGGAAAGGAAACAGAACCAGTTAAGTGTTCCTCTGGAGCAGCCTTCCTCAAACTGATGCCTTCCTGGTGTTTTGCACTACAGCTCCCATCAGCTCCAGGCATCGTGATTAGTCAAAATCTTCTGGCGAGTACCAGGTTGAGGAAGCATGCTCTCCCTAGGGTCTTCCATTCCTGCTTGTGTGATCTCTGGACATAGATAGCCATCAGAGACTGCTACTCTGCCCTGTGCTGAAATTTTATCTTGCTGAGCGGTGGAAATGAGCACACAACAGTTGTGAGTTTATGGATTCCCTGTTGGATCCTGCTAGGACAGCTTAGCATCTTGCAGAAAGAGCAGTTTAATTTTGGAGGGCATACTTTGCAGTCTTCACATAGGCTGATTTGTAAATGATAGAAGTAGTTGCTAAGGATCCTAAGGTACTATCCCAAAGAGGTCCAGGGTGGGGGGGGGCTATTTCTTAATCTTGTGATAAAGGCTGTCTTCAGAAAACTTTAAAAGGTGTAAACAGAAACCAGAAACAGCAGACTTCAGTACACTTTATTTTGCCTTGGAGCGAAAAATCCAAACTAGGCTGGGTGTGGGACTAACAGAACTGTAACTCCTTGTATTGAAGGCCTATCTTGTGGCTTCTTTGGCAAGGAGAATAAAGATCTGCTAGCGGGTGTGGTTCTTCCTGCAGGACTCTACAGTTACTGATAAACCAAGAACAGCCGAGAACACTCTCAGATAGAAGCCAAGGGTGGGCCGAGCACTCTGCAGTCTCAAATGCCACTTCAGAAGAATAGCCGCCTTCATTTCTTGCAGCAAAATGGGAGCGAGTTGTGGTGCCTTAAAGCTTTTATTGTGGCATAAACTTTCACGGGTCAGAAGTGTGCTATGGCCCACAGGTTTTATGCCACAATATATTTGTGGTGGTTTTTTTAAGGGGCCGCAAGACTCGCTGTTTCATTCTATTCAGTTTCTCACCTTCAGGAGCCAATTTCTCCAAAATCCTTTTTTTGTGGGTCCCTTCAGATTCCAGCTGTTGATGTTGCAGGAGGGGAAGCTTGGATTACAAGACTGTTTGATTGAACTGGCTTGGTCATTGTTGTCTTAATATTGTTGACAATACTGTAAAGTTACTTTTTAATGGGGATTTCTGTTTTAGCAATTGCTTTTTATTTTGGATCCTTCCTTTTTAAAGAGAAAAAAAAATGTGACACTTGTGGAAAGCTTGTAAGAAAAAGCAGTTTTCTTTTAATTCCCTCTCCTTCAATGACCGATCTATAGTTAATTAAGGTTGTGAATTTTTTTTTAATTTTTTGCCTTGTTTTTAATTAACGTTTGTCATTCAGAATAGGATGTGTGGTGATGATTAAATGGCAAAAACAGAAGAAATGATTTTTTTTCTTGTGCAATTAACAAAGCTACTGGCAAAAGGAAATAAAACCTTTCTTGGTAACACAATGTTACTTGTCTGTTTCTAAACTCTCCCCACCAATATTCTCTTTTCTCTCCTTCACCAGCCATTAAATCAAAAGAAATATGTTAAGCCTAACATTCCCCTTACTTTTGATTCATAGAGCACAATGTTATGTTTTTCCTGTATTAAAACTGAAGATACACTTCACACTTTTATACACTCAGATCCCATCATGACAGGCAGTTTTTCTTCCTGTCTGCTGCAAGACAACCCAGTTAAAGTTGTTTCCATTGTCCTACTCTTTTTCCCCCTCTGTCAGCTCTAGAACTGCTGTTTTCTGAATAATGTTAAGAGTATCAGCTTTGCATGCCGAAAGTCCCAGGTTCAATCCCTGAAATCTCCAGGTAGTGCTGGGGAGAGACACTCTGGAGAGCCTCTGCCAGTCAGAGTATACAGAACTAGGCTTGAAGGACTTAAAAGAGCAATCTAGCCATGTCATTCAACAGTGACAGACAACAGCTTTGATGTAGACACGGCAGGTGCTCTTTTTCAAAGGAAGCTGCCTTATATGGAGTGAGATCACCAGACCATCTAACCACAATACTGTCTGCACTGACTAGTGGTGGCTGCCTGGCGTTTCAAGTGAGATTCCCTCCCAGCCCTACCTGGAGATTGAACCTGAGACCTGCTGCATGCAAAGCTGATACTATACTCTGAGCTATGGCCCTTCCCCTTCTGTTTCTAGCTGCAGGCTGCTTGCTACCTTGGGGTAGCAAGAGAGTTCAGGAGAACATGAAATTCTGGTGTTTTACTGGGTTCTACGATGGATATCACTAGGTCAGAAGGATTCCTTTCTGATATAAATGACCACCTAGAACTGCTTGTTTATATGTGATTTTACATCTTATTTTGTCTAGAGTTTTATAATTTTGTAATTGGTATCTTTGTCTTGATACTGGTTATTGACCATAATAAAATGACTTAGCTAGTTGATCCTAATGAGAAGAATTGCCTGCCTTTGGCTTTTGGGATTGTTGATGCGTATGTCTGTTTGGCTACACAATGATTTTTGTGTGCTGCAGCAAAGTAGGAAGCAAGAATTTCCTGTTCTCCCTCCTTTAAGACATTGTTACCCAAACAGGTTGGATAAGTTTTGAACTGGATAGAGGCCAGCTTTAGCACAAAGTTTTGTTTTGTGTAAATATTTAAATATGGGGGTTCTGTTTAGGCATACAACTTGTTTATCTTTAGTATTAAACATCAACTTGTTTAATACTACACTACAAGAACGAGAGTATCTATTTCCCTGAAAAAGTTAATCTATGTCTCATACAAACTGCTTCAAACGGGAAGTCTTTGGAAGCAAATTTCTGCTATACACTATAGAAAAATAACTTCACAGTATGATAAATCATGTCAGTAAACATAACTTTTTCAAATAGCATTGGAAATGAAAGTTGCTTGCCGTTGTGGTTAGGTTAAATGGAGAGCTTTGATGCAGGTACCTTCTCAACCATAAAACTAATTTGGGTAACATTGGGCCAGTCACTGTCTCCCAACCTTGGGAAAGAAAGGTGGGATATAAACAGAAAGAAAGCACAAGCTGAAGAGATTATGGTAACTATTTCACTGGGAACATAATGCCAATCAAAGAAGTGCTATATGGTTTATAATCTGGATGTGATTTTCCATTCCATGCCCCTCCCCTTTCTGTGGCTGTTTTCGAGCACAGTCAATTACTACTCCGTGGCCACTGAGCATGCTCAGTCATCAGCAGGGTTTTTCCTGTCTCCTTGGTTGTGAATACACTAACGTCATTTTAACTAGCACTCAAACTCTGCACTTTGGAAACAAAGAGAATTGTACAGTACTCTTTATATCCCTTAGATACAATTTAAAATAGTATACACATTAAAATGGGTGGATTTCACATTATCTGCCCTTGGTTTTCACAATTCTCCCTCTACCTCTCCCCAAAAACGCTTGGGCGGACTAGCCTGCTTCATTACGTCACTAGGCTCTATGACGCCACAACCCTCAGAAGCTGGAAAAGGTCGGAAAGCAGAAATACATGAGTGTCAATGAGTGTCGCCTGACTTCCACGTTGCTAGGCTTCAGTTTTTAAAACGTAGAGATAAAACACACTATATAGTCTTTATACCACTATCACCCTGAAATTCCCGTGAAAACTGAAGGACCCCAGTCGAAACAAAATAAAAAAAAAATCCTTCCAGTAGCACCTTAGAGACCAACTAAGTTTCATTGGTATGAGCTTTCGTGTGCATGCACACTTCAGATACACTGAAACAGAAGTCACCAGACCCTTATATATCGTGAGAGGGTGGGAAGGGGTATTACTCGGAAGGAATGCAAATTGCAGGTCAGAGTTGTCACCGGGGATGTACATAGGAAAGCAGTTTTATGTAATATGATCCTCGGGTAAAAAGGAGAAATCATGAACTGTAAGAGGTAGTCTAAGGAGGAGTGCGTGTATGCTGCGGTAAGAGTTTACGCCGCATTCTGCACCAGGGTATGCCCACTTGTGTCTAAAATATGCAATTAATAAATAAATGTAGGCACACTCAAAAAAATAATAATGCAAATTGATGCCGCTCTAGCCCTTGGCACCAACCTCTATGGTAAACCCATTTGGCATTGATAAATATAAAGGCACCGAGAAAGAGAAAAAACACGTTCAGACCGGAAGTGGTTGTAAACTCCTCCTATCTCTAGGGTTATTTAAAAGCCGATAAGTGGGCGGAGCCTCGCGGAGGCGTCTAGGCAAGGCCTTTCAGAACTGGCCAATAAGAACGCCTTCTCTTGAAGCTCCTGCCCAATAAGGAGCGAAGGGGCGGGAAGAGCCCGCGCTTCACGCATCGCCTCAAGTCAAGCGGTCGGGTCCGTGGAGCATCTCCGTGAGGCGGTTATCGATCTGGGTCAGGCGAACGGCGGACGAGAGGCGGCGCGGCTATGAGGATGGCGGCGCTGGCGAGCGCGGCCGAGCGGGCTGTACTGGTGAGAGAGCGGCTGGGGCGGCCGGCCGCGTTGCTGTTGCAGCTGCTGCTGGGTTCGGAGGCGGCGGCGGCGGCGTCTCCTTCCCACTTGGCCGAGAGAAGCCGAGGCGCCTCTGGTCAGCCCTGAGGGACCGACAGCGGCTCTGCCTGCCTCAACCCCTTCGGTGTGGAGCGGGGCCGTGCGTGACGTCACCCGCGCCGGCATCGGCGGTGCGTGACGTCACTCCACAGCATCGCGGAGCCGGCGCCGCCGCCTCCTCCTCCTCCCCTGAAATTATAATTACCTTATTTCATAATGATATTTATCATCGTCGTCATCATCACCATCCTGAAATATGTTGCCAGCAGAGAGAGAGTGCTGTCACTCAGGTCCTCCTTGTGGGCTTCCCTATAGATGCATCTGGTTGGCCACTGGGGTAGCAGGATGGTGGACCAGATGGGCCATTGGCCTGATCCAGCAGCCAGGCTCTGTTGATGTTCTTTCCCCTGCTTTCTATGAATTGCCGGGGGAAAAACTGGGCTGAGAGTTTCAGCTGCACATTTAAACTGCATTTAAAGGAGTCCAGCCCAAGAGTTTGTGAATTGATGCATTCGGTCTTCAGGGGCAATCTGTTCACTGTTGCTGAGCTCCTCTTTGAGGAATAAAATCACCCGATATACTTCCAAGGAACTCCAGGACACGATTTGAAAACCACTCATGTTAGATAAGATTTGCACCCCGCTTAACAATTCCTTCAAGGAGTTCAGGGTGGTGGGCAAAGTTCCTTCCCGCAAGGGACCCCACCTTATCTTACAGCATACTTGTGAGGTTGTGATTTCCAGAGGATGTTGAGTCTCTAGCACTTGTCTTTTCCACATTTCCTTGCCCTCTGATTCCTCCAAACGTTGTGTGTGTGTGCAAGTGTGCCTGTTACACAAGAGGGGTGGACTGTAGTCCACACAAGCTGATGTCATAATGATTTTTTAGGCTTTAGTGTGCCACAGGCTTCTTTGGTCTTCTGAAGTAGGTTAGGCAGAGCAAAAGCATGGAGCAGGGAGGGGTTGTAGCTCAGTAGCAGAGCATATGCTTTGCATACAAAAGGTCCCAATTTAGATTCCTAATCTATCCAGGAAGGGCTGCAAGAGACCTCTGTTTGACACATGTTGGAAATGATGCTAGACTAGGTGGACTTCTGTCCAAACCAGCAGAGATGCTCTTATCCTTTGAGTTGGTGATAGTATGACTGTAGCATTTTACACCACAGTCATACTATCACCAACTCAACTCACTACATTTTACAAGATGTGGAAGTCTTTGCTTTTTTGAAAGCTTCTTTGATGTCTTAAAATGCTTCTTCATCAGAGCCAAGTCTTCTTGCCCAGCCTGATCCTTGCTGTGCTAGTGTTCTAGTTACAATGATTTTTTTTAAGACATGGGGCCATTAAATAAAACGACTCCCTGCACACATACAGTCCAAAAAGGTACAGTCCATCCTGCCATCTGTGGATTATTTACCACTTCCTTCTGCTGCATGTATATGCCCAGACTCTGCCTTGCATTCCCCAAGCAGGGAGCAATAACATCAACTTCTCCTTATTGAATTGAGCAAATAACCCCTTTTGTCCAGCATTTTCTCTCCCATCACTGCCAGCCAGAGACCACTGCCTAGAAGCAAGGTTTCATGATGATTGGGATCTCCTGTAATTGTGTCCAAAGATGTACTGCCTCTGGATGTGGAGAATCTACTTAACAAGAATTGACCAGGAGAGTTGATGGAATGGTCCTCTCTAAATTTGTCAATCTCTGTTTGTGTTCATAGTTCTACACTTTAAGCCTGCATCCACAAATTGTTGACAGTTCAGTTCTAGCACAATGAAACATCATTGGTTGGTTCTGTAAGGCACATGGATGGTGCAGTGGTTTTCTGCATTCCCTTCATGAATTCTTAAATGCCATTCACAGCTGTTGCTGAAAGGTCTGAATTAGAAGCAAGGTCTGTCACTTTGCTATTTGGATATTATTGTAAAAGAAGGTATATTGTTGGGGTGGA